AACGCAGGGATGCGTATCAGAAGTGTATGAATAAATTTCTTGAGGGATTGTTCATACATTTGGAGCTGTCAATTTTAACAATATTATTCTCTTTGTCTTTAGAAATGAACGTGACATGAGATACAATCTTGTACTCATTTTCATCCAATTCAAATAACTTGTTAGAATCATCACCAGTCTTACAGGATGGAAACAATTCCTTAATAGTGATAAGAGGTTTTGTGAGTTGTCTAAGAATTCCAATCCTATAACAAATACATTTCAAATCAATTCTCTCAAAATCTCTGGGATGAATTTCTTGTTCTTTTAGTATCTTACTTGAAATGTAAGGATCTTTCTTGACTAGTTGTCTAAAGTATCGTGGTGCTATATACAGGCGACCTGTTGGAGTTTTATAAATCAATCCTTTCAAGAAGAGATCCTTTTCTTCTCTTGTCAGTGAAACATTCAATCCACACAATAAACGTGGTAATAATTCGGATTGAACTGATGGGTCGTTGAATGATTCTTGCTTAACAAGATACCCTTTAATTACTTTATCGATATTCTTTTTCAATTCTGGAAATAGAACATCAGACTGATTTTTCCATTCTTGAAATGTCACCTTTGTTAAAAAGGACGCAATTCCTCTCAAAGTAAGGTTCAACACTTCAGGTATTATTAAGGCCTCAAATAGCAAAACTCCCATTCTTCGTATAGTTACATTGTTGGTAATGCTCATCATATTAATCATTGTAGTTGAACATTTAAAATAACTATTACTTAAATATTCCTTTAAAATTGTACCCAATTGTGATGTGCAAAGAGGTGGTAATGTTAATTCTTGATTTCCAAATTCTGTTTCATTAAATCGTATATCAGAGATGTGTTTAAGACCTGATAGAATTGGAATCAAACAAACTCTACTTAAATTTAAATTGACAATATCAATGTTCACCATATAATTTCCAATGGCATATAAAGGACGTTTCCATGGAGTAAGTGTTGAATCATCCTTAATAGTTCCAAACATTTGGTATAGGAATTGAACCTCATCCAGAGAAATGGTCATGAGTAAAATTTCATCGTTGTTAATAAATTGTTCCAATTTTCTTGTAATGTTTTGCAATGTGAAGAAATTGGTGGTACAATAAAGAGTTTTAAAGTAAGGGTTTAGCAATTCCACTAGATAACTGACTAGATCGCGGGAAGTCTTTGAAAAAATGGGCCAGAAAAATTTTTTTCCAAGTCCAAAATACCAGCCATTGGATACCAGTTCGACTTTGCCAAAATTTCTTGGTATCTGAAAATTTTTACAAGTCGGTAATCTTGCTCACAAGCAAAGATAGAACACCAATATTGACTCTATTCCTTCTCTTGAATACTCTGCGAGTAATGAGGTAACATTTCATGCAGGAAACCAACACAAATATATTGAACAAGTCTTTTATTGTGAAAATTTGGGAACTCAACAGAATACCAACAATAATCCAATCAAGAACTGATGACCAAACTCCAACAACAAGAACGGAGCCAATATTGGTAACAGCAACCATTCATGCTTGAGCCTTCCGCAAATAATAATTACTATTATTTCTTGTTGTTGTTGGTGTATTAGCGTTAGCCAAACACCATATTGTTGTTCATCAATTCTACTAAAATTAGTACTAATGATGATACTATTCCACGTTATGCAAAATAAAGCCAGTTTTCTCGATGGGTAAAACTATGTAGTTTCAATGTAGTTTCACTGCATTATTATATTTGGCTGATAATATTTTTTTGAATATTTTTTAAAGTTGACACTCAACTTGTCTCAAATTTTCTTCCAGTCCAGCGGATCGACGAATTTATATCAACCTCCCGCGATCTAATAACTGACTGGACACCCCATTAATCTTGCTAAAATTCGTAATCCAAACATTTTCCCTTCAGTTTCTTGTTTCGAATAACCATAGTTAACCTCATCGCTTGTTAAGGTGTTACCAGTGTCTAAGGAAAGATTACAATGTAATTTTCTATATTTATGTTCAGAATCCATGTTCATTTTAAGAACAATGTTTCGAATTTCCTTACAAGCTCTTGACTTTCCACTACCTGTACCATTGGATAGAATTCCATACTCAAAATATCCTTTCT